TTCGGGCAAACGTTCGACACAGATTAAGCCAATAAAGGACGACAATGGAAAGTCAATCACCAAAGAGGTGGAACAGAGAAAGCACTGGGTTGAACACTTCAAAAGACTTCTAAATCGTCCGCCACCTACAACACGTCCAGCAATACCAACAACGGAAGCAGAACTACCAGTGAACACTGACCCCCCGACGAAATCAGAAGTCCTGAATGCAATCAAGATGCTTAAAGCTGGGAAAACACCGGGACCAGATGGAATCCCAGCAGAGGCTTTGAAAATAGACCCAGAGACAACAGCGGACTTGATGACACCACTACTGGAGAAGGTGTGGAAAGAGGGCAAAGTACCCGAGGATTGGAAGAACGGATACTTATTCAAACTTCCAAAGAAAGGAGACTTAAGTCAATGTAAAAACTGGCGTGGAATTATGCTTCTGTCCATTCCAAGCAAGATACTAAGTCGCATCATCCTGGAGAGAATCAAACAAGCCCTAGATGAAAAACTTCGTCCGGAACAGGCTGGATTCAGGAGAAACAAATCATGTATTGATCAAATCGCCACTCTACGGATCATCATTGAACAAAGCTTGGAATGGCAGTCACCTCTCTATCTCAACTTCATCGACTTTGAAAAGGCCTTCGACAGCGTCGATCGAGAGGTCATTTGGAAACTACTTCGCTACTACGGGGTCCCATCGACAATTATACACCTCATCCAACAGTTATACGACAATGCTGCATGCCAAGTAATCCACAACGGGAAACTTACGGAAGCCTTCGAAGTGAGGACGGGAGTGAGGCAAGGCTGTCTACTATCACCAATGATCTTCCTGATTGCAATTGATTGGATAATGCGACAGACAACGGCAACCAACGAGGGAACAGGCATAAAATGGACTGACACAAAAGACTTGGAGGATCTGGATTTCGCCGATGATATATGTCTGATTTCCCATAAACTGGAAGATATGCAAGTGAAAAGTAACAAGTTGGCAGAAGAAGCATCAAAGATAGGACTTCACGTGAACATAGATAAAACAGAGATGATGAAGATTCCTAGCCAACATCAACAGCAACAACAACAACAGACAACAATAAGCATAAATGGGAAGAACCTGAAAGAAACAACCTCCTTCACCTACCTGGGAAGCATCGTTTCAACTACAGGCGGAACTGACGAGGATATCAAAGCCAGAATCGGAAAAGCAAGACAAGCTTTCATTACTCTCAAATCTGTGTGGAGGTCAACAGCACTCAGCATCAAAAATAAGATCCGGATTTTCAACTCCAATGTGAAGTCAGTGCTACTATACGGATCAGAGACTTGGCGAGTCATAAAGAGCATCTCAAACAAACTTCAGACCTTCATTAACAACTGTCTCCGCTCAATACTCAAGATCAGATGGCCAGAAAAGATCAGCAACAGGGATCTCTGGGAGCGAACCAATCAGGAACCGATTGTGAAACAAATAGGCAGAAAGAAATGGAGATGGATTGGCCATACGCTGAGGAAACCATCAAGTGACATCACTAGACAAGCCCTCGAGTGGAACCCGAAAGGGAGGCGGCGAGTTGGTCGTCCAAGGGTGACTTGGAGGAGGTCATGCGAGGAGGAGATGAAAGCATGTGGACAGACCTGGAGCAGGGTGAAAAAGTTGTCAGAAAACCGAAGGCAATGGAGGTGCGCAGCTGAAGCCCTATGTTCCTCTAGGAACTAAAGGATACAATAATAAATAATAATAATGTATGATATACAATTGACATAAACATATATATATATACATTAATATCCTTTTCATGTTCACATGTTCAGTCAATTCTAGTAAATATTGTGAAATCTGGAGACTTTTAGTGAAGTCCGGAGTATGTGATACTAGGTGCCTGACTTAGAAGGTTTGCTTATTAGGGGCTCTACAATCACCACGAGGGCGCCAACAAGCCTGATTTTTCTTGAACACCAATTGTAACGACGAAGCTTATTGACTGATTGAAGTCCGAAACACCCCCAAATGAACCACGCAGTCAAATTCAGCTTTCGCTGTTTTTGCCATGTCCAGGGCCAATATTCTTGGTTTAGCGAATACTGAGGTGTGTCGTGAGTAGTTTTCAGAGAAGCCTTGGAAGTCTGCGGTTATGTTGCCATCAGAATTGAGATTTCTGAACATTTTTTCCTGGGCCTTCCGGTTGATGCTGACAGAGATTGAACTAGATTTTCCTGTTGATCTAGTTTGTTTGGGCCTACTCTCTGAATGAGAGCGTGTTCTGCCACGCGAACTAACTGGTCTGTCATGCTTGGGTAGTGTTTGTGCCAGTTTTTCCTTCAGTGGTCTAATGTTGGTCACTAATTCTGAGATTGTGGGTCTTTGTTGGTATTCTGATGGTTCACCTGCCCTTCTGTAAGCCTTCTCCTCCCCAATATCTGATCAGCAGTGCGTGCAAACTGTTTAAGAGGAGAGTCATGGCCTTGTATGTCTAGGGCTTGTCATACATACTCTGAGAGGGCTTGCATCCAGCCTTGTTTCAGTACGGCCTCCCCCACTATGTTATCCCTACAAGCTGCTTCAGGCAAAGGAAGAACTATGGTGGTGATCTAACTCTCATGTTCTCGCCTTGAAGCAACCGTACAAGGTCAAAAACCTTGTTGCTAACCTCAAAAAGTAGTTGACTTGATGCTATTTCGGTCAAAGTATTGCTTCATTTGAGTAAACCGTAGCTCCTGGTCACATCGGTCGAATTCAGTTAACTTCGGAAGTGACTAAAGAATCCACCTCCGTAGAAGTGGAGTTTTCAAGTCCCTTTCTTTGTTTGGCAAATAAAACATTATAATCAATAAAAATATTGTACAAAATAATACGTACTATAGAAAAAATAAATAAATGAATCGATCCGAGAAACAACCGAAAACAAAACAGATATGTGGAGTGTAGTTAACTGTGCGAACAGTAGGCGAAATGTGAACAGAGAACAGGCTGACCAATCGAGAAACTGACTATTCTTTCTGAACGATTACTCGGGTTACCGACGGATGACCTTTAATGTTACAGAAGATCAGTGGTGTTTATGAAAGCATGGCAGAGTGCAAGTGAAGTGGGGCTACTTATTTAAAAAAGAACATTCATCATTCAGTGGGAAATGGCCTTACAAATCGTAAAGGAGATATGGTTCTTATATGTCTGCACGCTCCATACTTTTGAATTCCTTGATCACCTGCCACATCCGTATGGCCATTTGATACCGCACTGTAGAGGCCTTACAATCTAAAAAGACTAACCATGAAGGGTTGGTTAATCAAAGAACAAAAAAGGTTACTAATTCATGCTGTAATTCCGTATCTGTATATGATTCCGATACGAATTACATCACTGGACAGGCATAAATATTATTTCTTCCCTTCTTTAGTGAAAGTGGTATTAAAAGTAGCTGGTAAACCAGAATAGGCTGAGGCCAGTCATATTTAGGCTTACGCTGAATATATTTTCCAGAAGAACAACAAAAGCTTCGCATTTAAACTACTAGCTTGGAGAGTGCAACTACATCGAATGTAATCCCTGTATTTTCGAACTGTTGATGTACATGGATAGATGGCTACACGAAAGTCTGTGGTGATATTTCTGATTGAAGCCAAAATGATAACGAGCATAAACTTATTGAAGCAGCACTAATAACTAACCTCCTAAAAACTAGCAACGGCTGTTAGTCTATTCTTGTATCTAGCGTCCATCCAGATCTTTGTGCCGGTTTGTACCCTGAAAATATTTTAGGAACCATTCTGTGTCCTGAAAAATTAAGACACGTTTTCATCTCAGTGACTTACAAAAAGGAACAGTGAGGTTACAACAAGGAGCCGTAGAGATTGTTTAACTCGTTGTCGATCACACGTAGAGGTATGCCACAAAGAGATGAGCCTAATTTTTCATATAACAACACGTCACTTTAATTAATTATCTGGCTTGTTTGTGGAGGGTAGACATATGGAGAACTAAAACGTTTAGAGTCACAAGGTTAGTTCCACATCAGTTTTTTAAAGAAAGGATAATATACTGATGAGAAAGGTTGCCCACACGCTCCTTCCTATAATATACCCAAAGAAGTTAGGTGGAGGAGATAACAGGGTCATTCCCGCATAAACCTGAGACTTCATTGTCAAATTTTCCACCTCCAAAAAGTCTGGAAGACGGACATATTGTTTATTCAGCACTCATAGTGCAAACTACTTAGAAGTTTGGGAATCCATAAGTTGGCATCCTGCTGATTGTCGGTGTTTTCGCCGAGATCTTAAGAAAATGCTCATAGTTCGAGATCGTTGAGTATTGCTATTGAGGCTTCTGAGTCTCTTAAAAATTTCTTTTTCGTTAAAGGCAAGTCAGGATGAAATAATATCTGTGAGGACACTTAGATCGGCCATAAGATTAATGTTATAAATATAAAATTACAATTTCTGGAATTCAAAATACCAACATTTACTAGCAAGCCTCGAATAGGTTGAGATCACCAGGTAGTGTTTGGATGAATAACTACAATCGCTTTTTAAGAAAAGCTGTCTTTCAATGTAAAAATATCATCTTCAAGGCATTAAATATCATGTAATCATTACCTTAGCACAGAGGAGAAGAACATGAAGCGTAATCAAGTGTGAAGCAGAGGTATGGATACGTGTACTAGTATTTTTCCAAAGATTATTGCGTAATAAGCAGCGTCATTACAGACCTAAACGCTAATGATGCACATATATTAATGAATAACGGATTCCATTCGTTATAAACAGCTATTTCACTTAACAAATCGATTGCAAAAACATTTGTTTTTATCGGTCTTCATGAAGACTCGCGGAATATTTGAAAGTATTCGTCACAGCTGACGTCTTTTCTCTTTGTTCTCGGACTACTAAGTGATTACCGCGTATACGTTCTAATAAGTCAATCCACAACACTTAAATTACCAATTTTATCAAAATAACACGCTTTTACCCGTTAAAATATAATACTGTGCTCACATATAAAAAAGATGGCAGCCCAACCAGAAACCCTTAAATTTAGTCAACAATGGATAAGGGATTTATCAGATGGTGCATTTAATTCTAGGAGACATTCAAGTCGGAGTCCAACCGAAGATGTCATTTCGAGCAGGTGTCCTGTGTCGTCGTCAAACTGTATGCAAAAACACTCGTCTAAAAGCATAGATGTTTCTAGCTTGGCTCGTGGGGATAGAAAGCAAGGTTTAAGATGAATTTAGTTTATTTGTTTCTGTAAGATTTGGTTTCAGATAATGTCGGACAGCCCGTATGGTCCGGAGAGTCTGTGCGTTCTACTGAGTCGGGATGCGATGCAGATAGGTATGTTTTGTCACTGGATAAATAACGTAAATCTGTTGGTGTTAGACTGTTTAATCCACTTCTTTGAAGTAGTAATAGCACGTTGTATCTTACGGCTTCGTATAGACGTCTGATTTATGAGATTCACACCAGTGTTAGGGTTAGACCTTACTTGTACCTTTCCTATCTGGTGGCCGGGAAACTTTTGTACTTATGCCGCCCCTCAGATATTTGATAGAGCTAATTTTCATCTTCTCTACTGTTTTTTGTGAATTTCCCATGCACTGGGACTTTAAATGTGACATACTGATTAGCTTCCTCGGTATTTACTTTCTAATATAGTAGGTTGTATATGGATACCAGATGCCTTTGAGACAGTATAATTCAGTGTCTAATTGCATTGTCCTACGGCTAGCATGATTATCTGGCGTATCCAAATGCACTTATCACTACGTAACAGTATACTGCACTTCTCGAGTAACAATGGCAACCAAGTGAGGTTAAAATATAGACGGATGATATAAAATTAAAAGCATACTGAAGAATGTGAGAGTGAACGTGGGATGTTATTATTTAATTGCAATCAGTTTTGGCCTTTCGCTCGTGTGGTCATTAGCTCACCCACAACATAAGGATTTACCCTTCGTTGACATCCAAATTCCTAAAATCTCCAGTTCACCTGACTGTTATCTGCTGTACATCTTCGTCCACGGTTTCAGTACATTTTCCCCTACTTTAGTTTTTCAAAGTGCATTTCGAAATCGTGTTCCGTTTACTCCTTTTTGTAGAGCTCTAAAATGTGGCAACTTAAACCGTTGGATTTCAGTTAAAAATGGCAGTCGGATTGTGTCTGTTGACGTCGGAATTTCCCAATCCAGCCTCATATCTGCGTTTAAGAATCCGTATCGTCATTTTGTTATTCACCAGATCGGTTAGGGAAAATCAGTTATTTATTCCGCTTCTATCACGCTAATGCCTGTGTAAACCAAACTAAGAAATCCGGATTTGGAATACTTAAAATACATCTGAGGTATTCTCTAATCGTCCTTCATGTCGTTACAAACAGTGACTCGTTTTGCAAGTGTACCATTTGCATACTTTCAGTCTATCAGGGAATTCTTACATGGGAGTCGATCCTCAGAAGATTCATCTGTTGTAAGTCTGATGATAATTAAACCAGGCGTTGTCAGCAAATCTAAAAGATGTTACCGTCTTAGAGTTTTCTCATGAATCTAGTGGAGCTTTAAAAGTTTTAATGCGAAATATGTCCTAGCACCTATCTTTATAGGGAAAACCCATTACAAAACATGTTATTAAGCCTGATTGTCTGCTGATCCTCTGTGATTGTCAGAGTTTGGTATATCTTTGATATCTTCCACCTAATACTGACTTTGAATTCCTGTATCACTAGAAACATTGTGAGGAAAGATGAAATAAAATGATAGGAAGATAAATAATGAAAGGATAAATCAAATAGCATGATCCATTCACGATAGTTAGTAAGGACAGAACTGGTAAACATGGAAAAGACAGGTGATAAAAATATCCAAGCAATAGCAACAAGCAATAATCACCATCGATAATAAAAATCTGGGGCAAGTCGTCTCCGTCGCTTACCCAACCTAAGCAGCATCGTTTCAACTACCGGCGACGGCATGGAAAAGGACTTCACAGGCATCCAGGGTCGGGAAACAAGATAGGCCTTAATCAGTCCGTTACTCAGCACGTGGAACAAAATCAAAGATTTTACTATTAATATTGTCATTGCTTCGATATAGTTCAGAGAACTGGCGCATAAGCAAAAGCGTTTCCAGAAGGCCGTAAGCTTGCATCATCAGGTACCTTTGTCTAACACCCAGAATGAATAAGCAAGAAAGAAACTTGACAGGTAGCGAACCAGCCAGCCAAGAGTGTATAGTCCTACAAATATGTTGAAGGGAATGGAAATGGGTTGGACTTACGGTGAGGAGACATTTAAGTGACATCACACACTAGGCCGTTGAGTGTAGGGCAGATGGGAGGTGACGGGTTAGGCAGAGAAGGGTGATATGAGGCAGGTCATGTAAAGGGGGAATGAAAACTTGTGCGCAGTCGTGGAGTTAGCCTAAAAACAGCAGAGAACAGAATGCTGTAGCGATATGCTGTTTAGTGATATATTCTGCACACAAGGAACAAATAGCATTAATACAGTGGACTGAGTTATCTCACCTAAATTTTCTTTTATCAGTCCTGTTTCTTGAGCTGTGGTGTACTTTGCTGTAAGCGCCATCACTAACTCTCAGTTACTCATAGATAGACTACCTGTACCATTTTTGTGACTCAGTCACTTAACGGAGATGTCGGGGTTGGCATAGGTTGATGATTCCGTGTGTGTAAAATCAGCTGCCTAACATAAACTGACATTTAATCACTTGATTAGAAAAATAGATTGCCAGGCAAACTGTTGACACTTGATGACATTTTGTACGTTTGAAGACACCTGCTGATGTAGCATCATTATTGCTAGTGGGATGTCTGGTGATCATGAGGAGCGTATTCTCTAGGCTTTGCCCATAAAATAATCACTCTGAATTATGCCTGATGTTTCCCCAACTTTTTGTGTTGAGCAACACGGTTGTTTGGAAATACAACTGAGGGCTTGACTGACAACAAAATGTTCAGACTTATCCCAGGTCTATAGACATTCACGAGATATAGGACATATATATATATATATATAATGCTCTGCACTTCAGTACTTATGCACTGGAGTTCTTTAGCAGGCCATTACACATAAATTTTATAGTAGACGACGAACAAAATGATGACGTAATGTATTACTGATCGAAATACTAACCTAAGCCTCTCAAATCCGTAGAGTTTATGAGATTACAACTTGTCAAACTGTACAAAGTGGAATTCCTTCCAAACACAGGTTAGATGGATCACTCACTGAAATAAATCAGATGTTGCATTATGTAGACTGGTAAATAAATTTGTCTGTCCTTATCAATACTTGTAAACTGGCATATGCCGGAAACGTTTATCTCTGTTGATTTTACATTGAGTGGCTTAGTGGTCTGTGGTTTCGCTTTACATAATTAAGACATTTTATTTGAAATTTAACGCGTAAATAGATTGCTGACTTATGATAATTCATCTTTCTGTGTGTTTTTATTCAGGCAAGGACAGTCTTCTGGAGAGCCATCGAAACGCTACTCACAATGCATGTCATCTAATTCAGTGTATGCTCGAAATCGCGATGCAAACCAAACTGTTAATTCTACCAGTCAATGTGATGATGTCAGCAAGCACACGGTACAGTGGAGCAATAAGTCAACTTTAATTCCCCCTGAACCGTGTTGGCACATTCACTCGGATTCGACAGATGTTATGCTGGTATGTTCAGGGTACTACCTTTCGATATGTGGTTTGGTTTCACAGTGACAGATACTTTCATGAAGACTTAAAATAACTTGTTTTCATTTTAAAATCATATCGGAATTAAAAGCGAATATATGAATTCAGTTAACAGTTATAGTTCAAAGTTATACCATATTTCATGTGCCGGTCCCACTCGTTGAGGTAGAATATTCCGACGCGTTTACTCCTAGTGTCAATTAAAGTGTTGTGGATGAGACAATTTTTCGACTAAAGCTGTTGTAACTGGGATTTTGTCTTCAAAGTCTTTGCCTTTTCTTTTGCAAACAGTGGAAAATTAGATTATATTTTGCTCATTGGAGTTTAGAGGTAATTCAGAAAAAGTTTATTTCACCATATTTTTTTTTGAACTATTGGCTGGTCACATAATGTGCAATAGGCTTATAGCCTTGGTTGTTGGAGATATTTACTAGCGAATTTTTAGTAGCGTAGCTGTAGTGTTTGATTCCGATGTACGAAATGCCTATCTTAAGTTTGATAGTTTGAATAGACGTCAGTTGTAAAGATTTGAATTACTGTAAGGGTAATTACTTCTAATTTTGTGTCCCTATATTTCAATATTACTTTAGTTTCTATGTGTTATTGAACATTTTCTCTACAGAAAATGAATTCTAACGGTAGTCTAATCAGTGTTTTTAAACTTTCACCTGTACTTAAACTTTGAGTTGGTTATCTGTTAAGCTCTTCTTAATTGTATGCAGTAGTCAATTTTGAGGGAAATATCTGTAGCTTTGAAAAGTTTAGTATTGCGTTCTGTTGTTGTGTTAAAGGATAAGAATTAAGACGCTAGGATTTCGGATTTACAAAAGACTTCAGACACGGTTATCGGTTGAAATCGTTCTCAGTACCTCCGATATGACATTTCACCTTCATAGATCGATCATTTTCATATTTCATTCCGTTTCGAATTTCGTATTTATAGGTATATACTCAAACTTGGTGAATATTTTTTGAAAATACAAAGCTTGCAAAAGCAAGAACTTTTTTTGCTGTTAAGTGTTCCTGTTCCTGTACCGGTTTCTGTTTATTTCTTTTCTATTACTTTTTCAGCCCAGCAAAACAGGGGATCCTATGCGTTTGGGTACATCAGCTCATTCTGTTTCCTCACCAAGTACAGGATCTTCTGAAGTGCCTTATGTGGGGTCTTCTATTCTTTCTGGGAACCCATCAGTTGTAAACAATCCTACGTTGAACATAACCCCTAACCCACTTAATGATGGTATGGCAGCTTCACAGTCATATGGCAATAATAATACTGATCCATATGGCCAAGGTAAACGGGCTGTTAGCGCTTATTATGGAGTCAAGGATCCGGAAAAGGTAAGCTTGCAATGTCATACAGCATATTCAGTGGATATAAACATATCACGTAAGGGAACCTTACTTAAGCTAACCTGGCAAATATGCAATACTACATTCTTCTTTGTATTTCTACTTCTATGCAGGAAATACGAATGTATTTCTTGTGGAGACCAACGATTTGATAATTTATAGTCCTTATGGAACAAATAGCTTTGGGGGTTGAAACTACTCCATTACTGTATGTTGTTTTTTGGTAGATACGAATGTGAGGGTTGCAGTGACTTTCGAGTCATTAGTAGCAGGTACTTATTATGAATAAGAAAGAGAGATGAGAAGCTTATACCAATCAAGAACTTGAAAAAGCGGGATGTTGTATGTAGTATAAATCGGTGCGACTGTCTTGCTTGTTTGATTTGCTTTCTTGTACTGCAGTTAGAAATATGAAAGCATTTGGGATTTAGTAGCTTGCATACACTAATATAATTGGTAATGTTGGTTGGCTGAAACACCCGACAGTATCTACCCCCAAATCACAAAATTAGGACAATTTAGCGTAAGAGGTTATTTTCGCGGCTAGTTTATTACTGGCAAAAGCAGGGTAGATTATAGCGCATATAGTTTGAATGTTATGAAATTGTTTTACAATGTGATTAATTGCGATTGAGTTTTAGTGACATCATATAAGTTCGGGAATTGTTGTATTATGTAATTATATATTAATTTATTAATTAGATAATACTTTCTCACTGTATGATGTATCCAATAAACAAATTTCTGAGTTTAAAGTTATATCTTTGCTGTTACTCTGGCTGGTAAGATTAAACATTCGATTTTCAACTAGTGAGTCATAAATCCGACCGGCGCTGTCATTGAATTAACTTTTGTATTGTTCCACGTATTGTTTGCATAAATTGTAGTGTGTATTCATTTTAAACATACTTCAAACTTCCCCTTCATTTGAGATTTTTTTAATTCACAAAACTCCCTATTTAAAACATCTGACAGTTAAAGAGGGATATTTCATAGTTCCAATATTTCTTATTATCTTTTTGAAGTTTCTCAAAAAAGAAAAATCAAAGCATGAGGCGTGATTTTAGTTCTCATTGCCCTATACTATTATAGGATCGTATTATATTGTAATTGCAACTTGGTTTCAAAATCTTTCTTTCAGATCTTGGACTCCAGTATGAATCCAAATACAATTTGGATGCAACAGCATATTTGGTCAAAATCAGTCCCGCAGCATTTACATGGTCTTAATCCTACTGATTCTGTATCTAACTCAGTATCGAATTTTTGTGGAGTTTCCACCACAGAAACAAGTCGGCATACAAGCTCAAGTGTTCCCGATGTCGACAACATACACAATTTCTTCCCAAGACTACCTGCATTTGATAGAGTTGTTCAGTCGAATTCAAATCATCCGTATTCACTGGTAAGAAGTGTGCTAACAGTTAAATTTTAAGAAATAAATTGATTTCACCCATATGGATTTATGGCAACTTGGTTATTTCTATAGTTTGTTATCTGCTGTGGTTTTATTTGAATATTACAAAAAGAAATCAGCAAAGTGGGTTCTGAAAATAAGTTAGCACATTATGACTTCTGATGCTCACAGAGAGAAACATGAGCGGTGGCGCATCTTTCAGAATCTGAAAGTCCTCATTATTCTCCGTCTAGTTGCTCTTTTTCTCGTACACATTCATCTTTTGGCGCTTCAAAATTTTTTCTGTGTGTATGTATACTTTTTAGAAATGTAGTTTACAACCGATCCATGAAGTTAATCATTGGTTAGGCATAAGCGTTAAGCCAGGGAAGCAAGGTCCGTCGATGCGGTTGTAAAGCTGCACCGACTGAGATGTCTAGGACACGTTGTATGCATGCCAATCCTTTACCTTACCCGTTGAACAATGTTAGTCGATAAGCAATTAAGTTACAAAAGAATTATAAGTGCATGGAGGATTTCATCATGAACTGATATCAGTTAGAGAACCACTGGAAAACCTGGGAGTACTGGACAACTGTTTAGTCCTAGTTTGGTAGTCTTCAGCAGTACGCACCCACCGGGGTTTGAACCCAGGACCTTCCGGTTACAAGGCAAGCTCGTAGACCATTGAATCACTGGGGCCCGATCCAATGGTCCTTGAATTCTAACTTCTGCCAATTCACGACATAGCGCAACCACTTCACAATGTCTTCTTGGATGAGTTACTGCCCCATCTGGGGTTCTATTGTCTGTCTGTCTGTTTTCGACATATAACTTTGCACAAATGTGCGGGAGTTCAAGTCGCCACACCATTTTTATAATTTTTCCTTCACGTTCCCAGTGGAACATAGGGCTCCAAGCTAGTGGCTTGAAGTTTCTGTAGCAGTGGTGATTATTTTTACAGGATGGGGTTGCTAGCCTCATGCCCAACCTTTCCTCTTTACTGGCATTATTTCTGGTTCAGTGAGGTAAAGGAGTGCGCCGGCCGGGGGTCGAACCCCGGACCATATGCATGGTCGGCGAGCGTCCTAACCGCTATACCACCGACGCACTATTGGGAAGCCTTGACCAGTAGGGTACAGCAGGTTGAAGATGAGGCAGTAACTCATCGAAGAAGACATTGCGAAGTGGTCGCGCTGTGTCATGAAGTGGCAGAAGTTAGAATTCAAGGACCATTGGATCGGGTCCCAGTGGCTCAATGGTCTACGAGCTCGCCTTGTAACCAGAAGGTCGTGGGTTCGAACCCCGGTGGGTGCGTACTGCTGAAGAGTCTCAAACTAGGACTAAACAGTTGTCCAGTACTCCCAGGTTTTCCAGTGGTTCTCTAACTAATGTCAGCTCATGATGAAATCCTCCATGCAATCAAACAAATCCGTACGAAACCAATACTTGAGGATTGTGTGATCAAATTATAACCTGGCATTAGTATATGAAGACTTTGACTGGTGGTTCGAGCTACTTTATGAGTTTCAGACTGCCTGAACGAGATCTGTGATTTGCTAATAACCGATGTCTATAGACTGTTGATGACACTGTTCACAATCATTGTTAATGGCACTTCGAGGCAAACAATTATTTTACAAAATCTAGTTTTTTTTACTGTTATAAAAAAAAAACAGTAAAAAAAATAAAACCCCGACGGGCATTGTTAGCTGATACAGGTTCAGGTTGGAAAAGAGCCAGTGGTGGCCAAACAAAAACATGGCATCAATCCATGAAATCCTTGACAGTTAAACTGAGTCAGGTAGGGAGATGCAGACTCCCGGGTTGGGGTCCTCGGGACTCTAGGAATCAATGGCTGCAGACAATAGGTGACATGGCTCAGAATCGTTGTCAATGGCGCAGATGTATTCAATCTCTGTAATCTTTCATATTCCTTTCTACCATTACCCATTCTGTTTCACTCTTATATTTGTCAAACTCTATAAATTCTCTTCACTCATCTTCTTGTCTACCTCTGTGTGCTATTTGGAAGGTGGCAACTCGAACTGGTGCACTTCGGTGACAAGTTCTATGTTGAATCCAGACAGAGACTGTTATAAAAAGCTTTATAAGGGACCAGTTTTATGTCAATTTTCGTTGCTTTTGCTTGCAACATCTCAAAGGTTATTTACTCTCTATTATTTATCTGTTAAGTGTTTTGTGTATTAGTAAGCCACTCGAATCGCTACATAGTAATGTTATTTTATTAAAGGAGAACTATGGCGCATCGTTTTAGGTTGTGGACTTAAAACCCACTTTTCTGTGTGAAATTTATGTCAGCTGTTTAGCATCAACAGTTCGCGTACCATAGGTGTGATTTGTTGTTAAGTACATGTACGTACGCAAGGTTTCTTACCTTGCGTCTTGATAACGTTTGTCTATACAGTTCTCATCATTGTGAATTTGATTCTTTCTGTATACTCTTTTCAACAGAATAACTTGTCGTTTACTTCATTGTGATCTTACTTTCCAGCCATCCAATACAGTCCAGAATCCATCAAACATAATGGATGATGAAAGAGGTTTCATGAGACCTGATGGATCAGATCACCCAGATGAACATATGTGGTTATATGAAGATCCCCAAGGTCGAACACAAGGTAGTTTTAGTGATGCTCAGATGAATGAATGGCTTATGGCTGGGATTTACTTTACTCCAACTCTTCGTATACGACGTAAATGTGATGACACATTTTCTACTCTAGGTAAGATAATGCTTGATTTCCTGTTGCTATAGAACAATATTTCTTGTGACATGTAGTGTTGAATGATCTACTGAACTCAGGGTATGTATAAATATGATTTAAGTATAGCATTCTTTTACATTATCTGAATTAGCAGTAAATAGCGTTGTTTAGAACCTAATGTGAACATATATTGTAGAGTGAAAATGTTTCATATCAGTAAAGTTTGAATAATCAATTAGTTTTAAAACAGAGTTGAAAGTGCGTTTATGTCTCTTTATTTTTCGTAACAACAGATACCACCCTGTTTTGGAGACATATATGTACTTATTTTCCTGTGATGTGTCACGTGTATCCCATCACAAACTGTACACGTGACGTAATTAGTAGTGGATACAGTCATTTCAGAAGTTGTGTGGATATCTTGTTGCGAAATATGATCAGTGAAAGTAGTTATTTCTTATGTGTTGATGTTATAGTGGCTCTTGATTAGTTACAACGCTTATATAGATGGTTAACTATTTGGACTAATATTATTATTATTGTTCCCTTGGGTTCCTAGGGAACATAGGGAACTGCACATCTCCACTTGCTTCTGTCTTCTGCCGTACTTTTCACCTGCATCCATGTTAGTCCATACTGATTCAACTCCTCTTCACGCGATCTCCTCCATGCCACCCTTGCACTGACGTCCCACTCGCCGCTTCCCTTTCGGGTTCCACTCGAGCCATGGCCTAACGCGCGCGTGAAGTCACCCAGCGCCCTCCTCAGCGAGCGGGTTTTCAATCCATCTCGACTTTCTCCTGCATATTTGTTGGGCTATTATTGGTTCTTGTTTTGTTTGTTTGTTCCCATAGTTTCTTGTTGGTGATTCTTTCCAGCTCGGTCATCTGATCTTCAGTATAGAGCGAAGACAGTTGTCGATAAAGGTCTGCAACAGGCTGTTGGAAATATTCTTTGTGACCCGCCTGCCAAGTTTCTGATCTGATCCGCATAGGAGAAGTGACTGACTTGACGTTTGTATTGGAGATCCGACCGAATTTTGTTGTTGATGCTGGGTGAGTGACGAAGATTTCCAGATTGGTTTCAGGTTAATGAATGATGTGTTTCTCGCCTTCCCGATTCTCGCTCGATTTGACATCCTCGTCCGCTGCAACTGCTTGTAGTTGAGACAATGCTCCCTAGATAATTGAGTGAATGAAGTTACCTCTTTCAAATCATTCCCGTTGATGGTGACTGACGCTGGATGTTGCTGTTGTTGTTGTTGGTGGTGGTGGTGGTTGGTTATTTCCATAACCTCCGTCTTGTCCATGTTCACCTGGAGTCCTGTCTTCGCCGACTGCTTCTTTGACCAATTTGTCGGTTTTCGCTTGTCAGTCTTCGATTTTGTGTGACATCAAACATAAATCATCCACGCGCGAAATCCAGGTCTTCTAGGTTCTTCACGCCGGTCCTGGATATCCTGTCTTCTCGTTTCCCAGTCACTGTCTGACGCATAATCCAGTTAGTCCACCACAATTAGGAATATTCATTGGTGATAATAAGCCAGCACCCTTGTCTGACTCCTGTGTTTACTCCAAACACCTCGGTGAGTTTTCCGTTGTGGATGACTTGACATGTGCCGTTGTCGTACAGCTGTTGAATAAGGTTGATGAATATTTGGGGTACGCCGTAGTACTCGAGTAATTTCCAAATTACTTCGCGGTCAATGCTGTCGAAGGCCTTCTGGATGTCTATAAAGTTGAGGTAGAGGTTTGATTGCCATTCCATGCTTTGTTCTGCGATGATGATGATCCGTAGAGTTGCAATTTGGTTAGAACATGATTTGCCTTTCCTGAATCCAGCTTGTTCTGGTCGGAGTTCTGTATCCAGTGCGTTCTTTATTCTCTCCAGGATAATGCGACTCAGGATTTTACTTGGCGTCGACAGGAGCATGATTCCTCCCCAGCTCTTTGGACTAATATACTTAATAAATATGTTGCATTACATTTTATCGAAATTAAAACATTAACAGTTTTGTTTGCTATTTTCCTCAAATAGCTAGTTATACCCAACTATTTGAACGTGTTCCTTTTGTTCCTGGCCCTCGAATACCTCCCATCCAAGGAGGAATTAATCAGGCTATGCTATCATTTTCTAATTCTTCTTGTTTGAATAAAATCAATGTCAAAAGCTCAGAAAATGCTCCCGTAGATTTGACATCGTGCGGTAATTCTAATAGTCACGATCATTGTGAAGGTAATCTAGTGAATCCAGGTATCATTGGGACTAATTCAGTATTGTTATCAGAATCACAGCGCCAGTTATATCAACATCTTACAGATTTCCAGGTAAGTTATTATTGGTTTTGATCAATGTTAGCGATTCATTTTGGGTAAATAATACGTCCTACATATAATACACGTGCCAGTTGAAATAGATGTAACGAATCCAAATTCTGAATCACTTAGACGCATGTCTTATAGTGACGTGCCGTTTTCCATTATAGCAAAATACATTTTCATGACCAATTTAATCAGTGTCGATAATTTCTATGGTGTTCATGTTTACTTTTTTCGCCTACCTAGTATGAACGGAACTATGAGCGATGTAAAATTTTTTTTGTGCTTTATCCTCTGAGATATAAATTACTTGAGCATTTCGTAAGCAGAATTGTGTTCAGGGTTCATCTGTGCCTTTCTACGTAGTTACTATTTTTTAATTGTGACTTAAAGTCCCGATGTTAACACCCACACATTAATTACAGAGTTTTATCAATTTCTCAAATTTGTCTTCATTTTGGAGTAGTGTTTTGTTCGTATGCATATTTTCGAAACAACTGTAATTCTCTTTACTTAAACAACATTGCCTTTATTTTGATTCCAGACAACTGCTTCTAATATCACAACCAATGCTAGTGGAACATCGCTTTCTTCAAGTCAGATTAGTGAAGAGAGTTTGCACAATATGAAACTCAGAAATCCTCTGTATGGTGTAAGTAATACATCTGCTCCAGTTAGTACACCAATCTCCTTGTTAAACAATTCGATCAGTAATTTGAGACTTGGTGATTCCACGGAAGCTGACTTTAAATCTGTATTAGACAACTCTCATAATCTACAGCAGCAAAGGCAGCCGGTGACTTCAGCCTCGAATTTCATGAACTTATCTTCTTTAGCGTCATTGAACCAGTCTTTCCCATCTTTTAATTTTCAATTACCTGTTAGACCTCAGGCTGAAAATGGGACTACTATCGATGGTCTCACCGCAACAGCTAACTCATTTCTGTCCCTGGTTTCTGGTCCATTTTAACTCAGTATCTAAACCTGAATCCACCGCCTACAAATCAGACTTCTACTCCCATGCAGCAATTGGCGGAGACGGCACAATTAGCAGCCCAGCTTGCAGCTTTGGTTGGGTCACACAGTCCGGATCAAACACCTATGCAACCTGCTCAGGCATTAGCTCTAGCACAGTTTTTGATGAATCGAGTAAGGAGGTGGAGTTTTGAATTTTAACTTTACATACTTTTAATGTTTTTTTTCCAGTTATATATTCCGGATACCTTATGTGACTTCGTTTTTATTGGTGTACTTGGATTTCACTGCTGTTTGATTGTAACTATGAGATTATAATGAAGTTTTTTTAGCCCACCAGTAATGGCGCTTAGCTCTTACATAAATATGTGCAATAATTACAGACTCATCTTTCTGTTTATAAATGTCTTCATAGGTATTTCAGTGGTACTTGTTAATATGTAACAATTAAACATTGTTAAATGTTTGTTGTTTTGGTTAGATTTAGAAGTGCAATCTGAGATAGCAATACAATGAATTCCTAAACTTGTTACTTTCCTGGAGTTTTTGATTTTATAAAGAAAATAAGCAAACTTTGTTATATGACCACAAACTGGGTAATCACAGTCAGTCAATTATACTCGTAGATGTTAAAAATTCATTGAATTTTAATTCGTCTTCAGATTCCAGTAATCTGTGCGACAGATAAGTAAAAGGCGCATTTTCCTTGTTTACTCTCGAGTTAATTATGTTCTTTATTTTTTAGGGTGTTGGATTGGGGGTTGGTAACACAGCGCCCAACTGTTCCAATGTTGGCCCAAACAACTCAAGAAAAGATGAGTCTTTCGATGAAGTGTCTAGTGCCAACTCATCTACTTTGAATACTTCCGGATCTTGTGGTGTAAACGAAAGACGTCAGGAATCACAGACACAATGGCCTACTCTTAGTTCTTCAGTGAATCGAAATTCATCTCATACTGGTGATGGGTGAGTAGGCTAACTTCTTACACTTTTATATACTCAATTTGATATCACTAGATTTTTGTTCATTTCCGGTTTTTGTGTCTGCATACATTTATTCAGTTGATTGGTGTTTGTTTTAGTTTCATCTGATATTCAAATAAGAAATATTCTTTTCTCAAGCTACGGGTTTCGTGTATTTAAATCTTGTTGGAAGTTATAGCTACAAAGTCAGCAAGGGTAGGAAAACACAATTTGTACATGTATAGTAGAGAAATACATGTGTAATTATAATTGGTTATGTTTCATGTGTCTGTTATACTACGACAGAAATGAATATAAATAGATAAACAAACAGAAATTTTATCGATCTTAAAACAAGCATTCCGGCTACTCAAATGGAATTTCTCTTGGTGTCACTATATGCTGTGAAACACGTGAAATGTGTAAGGTTTTTGTTTTTAAGGTGAAATTTTGGCGATCAGTTGTATAAATGTGCAAATAAAGCAGCGAAAAGTGTGTATAAGTATTCTTTTTCATTTATTTCGTATATTTAAATTCTTCAAGGAAACAATTATTGAATTAACCAGGAGATAATTTTAGGCATAAATTAAATCCACTTGTTATAAAGATATTATTATTATTATTATTATAGTAGTAGTAGTAGTATAGTGTGTAATTTATTCTATTATTTTTAAAAATACCCAGTTATGGACAAATATACACACTGTACATTGTTTTTGATCTGATATGCCTAAGTTTTTTGTCCCTTTCAGCAGGTATAATTCACTAAACAAAACATCCGATTTGTCATATGCAAAAAACTGTACGAATAGTTTACCAGAGAATTCATCCAATGTTAATTCAAGCGTGCATACTCACCGTTCAACGCATATAAATAAATCACAATCAACAGTTACAAAGTCGTCAATTAGTCCTCGATCAACAAATGCTAAGTCGAAAAGTCTATTATTTGATTCAACTTCATCTGAGCCTGTGATGATGACATCTCCGGATAAATCAAGTTCGCTAGATAATGAATACAATCGAAGTCAGCAGAATGGTAGATCAACAAAGAACACTGAAATTTCTTCTAATGTTTCTTCGCGTAGCACTGAAGTGAAACAGAATTTAAATAACCTATCCCGAACTGGATCCACAAATCAAAGTAAAACAAAGGTTTGTAAAACAGCTGTATATACATAATATTCATTTTTTTTCAATAAAAGGTATTTATGTTTCCTCATCTCACACCTACCTTTATACCATTTTAGTGGTAGCAGTTAAACTCTTACGGGCATTTCCTCAGTCTTGGTTACATAGGCACACGTATTTATCAGAGTTGATTGCTTAACATGGCCATTTCAATGGCAGATAAGTAATATGGGGCTTGGAGTGGTAACCCAATTTAAAGTCATGTGACGGACATAATGTGCGTTGGTGGCACAGCGGTTAGGACGCTTGCCAACCACACACACGGTCCAGGGTTCGATCCCCGGCCGACGCACTCCTTTACCTCGCTAAGCCAGAAATAATGCTGGTAAAGAGGAAAGGTTGGGCATGAGGCTAGCTACCCCATCGTGTAAAATTAATCACTGCTACAGAAACTTCAAGCCACTAGCTTGAAGCCCTATGTTCTACTGCGAACGTGAAGGAAAGGAAAAAAGATGGACATAAAGAGTTACAGCGCCACGGAAACTACATACTTAAGGCAACTAAACGAAAGCTTATAGTAGTTAAGATGGATTTTAGTTCCTGCGTTCGGTTATATGTGGTTTCAGTAAAATCCTGTTTTCCCTATGCAACTAGAAGATTTAACTTCTGAGTAATGGATTCTCGCATACTTTACCAAAACTACAAAGCATTATGGTGTCGCGATTGTGATATCCGAAATACCATGTTGCAGAGAAAAATACTTCCTGCTATACAATATCTCTGACAACTACTGTGTTTATAATTCACTTTGGTTTTTAGATGTATTTGCATTCGCGTTGTTCGACTCACTTGCATAATGGCGTCTTTTGCTATATGTCTTAGAGGTTCACCAAGGTTTTCACACAAAGTAATTATTCTTATACAGCAAATTATGTGTGAACCACTATCATAGTTTATGTTTTATTGTTATTTTTTTTAAATAAGGCTAAGCAATCATCTGGTGGACATTTGGAACGTGGACAAGTGTCAGATGCTCGTTTTGCACGTCTCGAATCTGATTCTGGACATTCATCAAATACCACAGGAGTTAATAATACAAGTGCAAACAACCAAAAATCACTGAATAATTCGGTTCGTCTCATTTTATAAACCTTTACGACGAATATATTCTGTACTTTTGTCTGCATACAACAAATCAGCTCTTCATTTTGTGAATCTTAAACCTACAGTTTAGGTAACTGTACTGAGTTACTGTCTATGAAATATATCACGCCAAATAAATAAGAATTGTATAAAAAGAAACATTTCAAACTAGTAATACTAGTATGTGGTGTGTGCTACTGATAAAATGTGCCAGTAGTATGTCAAGAGACGTTCACTGGCATACAAACATCAAAGAGTAGTTAGATAGATTTTCTGTCGGCGAAAACAAATGGTACATAGTTGCGAAGATACACGGAAGACATGAAAGGAACACAAAGAAACACAATCTGAAGACCAGAAGTGGCACAACACGCAATATCTGTACAAATGGTGTGTTGGAGATAAGGTGTACATAATTTCGCTATATAGAGATACCAAGTTCCAAATAAACATTACCCACTGCATCTCTCGTCTTCCACCGTCACAGTACTACACGAGCTGATGATAAAATTCACCGTTGATTTAGGTATGTGATCAGTAGTCAGTGTTCTAGAAATGTTAAAAATCTTGAAGTTAAAGGCAGCATACAACCGAACACGATACTACAAAACTACTGTGTTTTGGACGTCTTTATAATTTTTTAATATATTCTTTTGAAAACATTTTTTAGTTTCAATTATCATCGTTATGTTCCTGGTTGTTTATTTTTGTTTCATTGACGAGTCTGACTACTTAAATCGATGGACTTTAGTGCAACGTTTTATTTTGGTCTATAGGTTCGACTGTTTTTTATCTCTTCTGTCTTCCATATAAAGTCCAGTGGACGACTAATGTGATGTAACTGCACATACCCTTATTTTAAGTACGTGTTTAGGCTTGTTATGCAGACTTGGGAATAAATTGTTAACTTGTTTATTGAGGAGTACATTTAAAAAAAATAGTTTTCCTCTTTTCTTTTAATATCTTTAGGAGCTTGTTCTAAAATCTCACCTACCTCTTACTTTAAATTTAATTGCAGTGTAGCTACGTACTTCACTCCTTAATATAGAGTGCTGTTGTAACTTCTGGGGAGAATTTGATTGTTTTACAAACTTGCTGCAATAATATGCTTGGTCTTGCACTCGATAATTTATACACAGCGGTTTGTATTTGACCCCTTCAGTTTTGCCGAATAGCATATGGAAAGCTGAGTGCTAAAAACTAGACGTTGAAAGTTTGATTTTTACAATAAACTCTCATTTTGCCAACCTCATTGGATTGTCTTATTGGTTTTCGCTCCTGACGGATACCTTAGTCGACTACTCACATTAACTTTATAAAAGTAGACAAATATATTTTATTTCATTCCTTTGCGTCCCAAGTGGAACGGAACATAGGGCTTCATGCTAGATCTGTGAAGAATCAATAGCAGGGGTGTTTGTTTATGGGATGAAGTTCCTAGCCTCATGCCCAATCTTCCCTCTTTTCTGGCCATATTTATTACCGACTAAGTGAGGTAGAGGAGTGCGCTTGTAGAGGGGATCGAACCCTAGACCACTTGCGCTGTTGGCCAGTGTTCTGTATGTATTCATGAATTTGTTGACTGTCAGACGTGGAAATAACGCAATAGACCTTATGGGGATGGTTTGAGGATAAAAATAAACAATGTTCACATCCCTTTTAACGACGTAATGAATTGTGAATATGGATACAAATACTTCCTGCATGCTAATATTTCATCGGTTAACTCTCAGTTTCATTCATTGTATAATAAATTATTTTAACATTATTGTTATTGTTTTTTTTCTAACTTTACATCTAGTTTTTTTTCGCTAATCACATTCCTTTTAAATATTTCATTTGCATTATCTAGATCTCTAAAGCAAACAATATTCGGTCACCTACAAAAGCAGTTATTCAGAACAACAATACCCCATCGCCTCAGTCAAACACTAGCGGGAATCTTCGTTCATCTGAGACTACATTCTCATTAGTTGTATCGAGTTCAGAAACAGATTCTGACCAGACTGTAGAAGAAGAACTTAAAAAGCTGACACAATGGTGTCAGTCAAGGCTTAGTTCAATGCCGATGCGTGAAAAAGTGGATATTCCAACGGTTGTTGAATTGTTGGCCACACTGGATGCTCCTTATGAAGTAAGATTTATATACTATACAAATTTTACACTCTTAAGGTTTACAGTATCATTCATAATTTATTGTGTCTAAATGCCTGAATACTGACTAGCAGTCTAGATTTTTGAAATGTATATTGGATTTAAAAAAAATTCAGTTTTATTCCTCCAAGTGTTTCATGAACACGAGACTATAGTTTTTTATTAGCTCAATGTTTTGAGTTATATGAGTCATCTCATTCGCCTTCCGTTGTAATTCATTTTAAGCCGTCGATTATTGAGTAATGTGAGTTATTGCTGAAATGCGTGCGCTAGTTCTTGCATTGGTTAGAAATGCTTTTCTTTTCAGTTCTATCAGTCGAACAAAACCGTTACAAAGGCTGTATTGATTTGATATTCAACCGGTATGTATTGAGTCTCATAAAATCAGATCATCATTAATAATTCATATTATCTACCTCTAGATTAAATATCTTGGTTAGATACTGGCTTAGTTTATGATTTATGCTACTGCTTTTGAGAGTTGAAAGTCGTGGTGGATAAAGCAATGCGATTAAAGATTTTTGACAATGCCATTCGCATATACTGTTTCTTTTCTACTACTTCGACACTATAGCGTACTCCAAATCTTTGTCAACCTCATTCAACAGCTATATGATAGTGCTGTATGTCAGATGATCTCCAACGGAGAACTCAGCAAAGTCTTTGAAATGAATACAGGAGTAAGAGAAGACTATCTGTCATCCCTGATGATATTCCTAATTAATTGTGGTGGACCGGATTGCGCGTCAGACTTCGCATAAGAGTGAGAAGGTAGCAGTATTTTGGACCAATGCGAAGACTCTAGAAGATCTGGACTTCGTGGACGACTTATGTATGATTCCACACAAAGTCGTAGACTTACAGGTGAAAACCAACAAGTTGGCAGAAGAGGCAGGAGGCAAAGATATGACTTCAAGTAAACATAGAGAAGACGAAGGTGATGAAGATAACTAGCCGACCACAAGAAGCACCAATCACCAATCAACGGGAGTGATTTGGAAGAGGTGAACACTTCCTTCGCTTGTCTGGGAAGCGTTGTCTCAACCACAGGGGGAACAGATGAAGATGTCAAAACCAGAAACGGGAAGGCGAAGCAGACTTTCCTCGCTCTGAAATCAGTTTGAAAATCTCCCGTATTCAGCATAAAGAACAAAATTCTGATTTTCAACACAAATAATACGTCAGTCAGTTCTTCTATATGAGTCAGAAACTTGAACTGCATGTCATGCAAAGTATCTTCAAGAGGCTATTGACTTTTATCAGCAGCCGTCTTCACTGGTTCCATATTGAAGATCAAATAGGGGGCGAGGAAGAATTATCAACAAGCAGCTCTGTGAAGGAATCAATCAAGAACCGGTTACTCAAGACGTATGTCGAAGAAAGTGGAGGTGATGGAATCGCACTACAGGCCATCGTTCGAGTGGAACCGAAAGGGAAATGACAAGTTAAGCATCTGAGATTGACATAGAGGAGACCGTGTGAGGGGAGGATTGAGAGCCTATGAGCAATCTTGGGACCGGCTGTGAAGAGGACTTCAGGACAAAGTTGAGGTATGTTGTTGGAGACCTACGTTCCACTCGATATCCAAAGGAACAATAATAAGTAAATAATACTGTTTCATTTCTACAATAAAATTTTTTTCCCTGACATTGTCGTCACTTTAGTTAAAAAATTATCTTGCGATTTACTGGGAAAACACCTAAAAATATAAACTTTACTTCTATATTCTTACTGCAGTTTATACCCTAGTCAATTTGATTTTAGTTAGACCATTTTTGAGCATTATCAATTGAACGAGTATTGCAACAATAAGTACTCTCTCATTTATGATGCTCAATATAAACATTGCATGAATCGAAACATGTGGTTTGTTGTTTTATAAATACTCAGCAGGGCGACACACTGCTCACTGACATTTCCGTGCAGAGAAGTTATATGTTTTCAGCAAAATATCTTACGAGATGTTTATCGATTGTATTTCAGTCTTTTCTTTCCGAAATATAAGTATTTCCAACTGGTACATTTATTTGATTACAAAAACAATTAGGGAAACAGTGTTACCTACGTATATAAATGGCATGTACTATTAAGAAATTTGAAATTATGAAAGTCAGCTTGGTCTTGTGACAGTTCACTGACTAATTGGTTTTGCAAACCTTAAGTTGTCTTTGTTTTTTTCGAAGACTTATTTACCGCTCTGATTGAGAATAGCATGTTGAGCAAGTTTTAGTGAATTGATGAAGTGTTTAGGATTTAATGAAAAAACAATCTTGTTTCCTGATTCCTTCTGTATCTTTTGCGCCATAGCTCACGCATCCTGTAGCACGTCTCTAATTTTGAGCAATTTCATAAACTGGCTTAGCATCTTTCTTGATTCATTTGAGTTTCTAAGCTGAATATACTTCATTAACTGTTATACGTTATTAATATTAATAATTAATGTTCCCTTGGGTTCCTAGTGGGCTTCAACTGCACGTCTCCACTTGCCACTTCTGTCTTCTGCTGTCCTTTTCACCTGCATCTATGTTAGTCCATATTGTTTCAACTCCTCTTCACACGATCTCCTCCATGCCACCCTTGCACTGACGTCCCACTCGCCGCTTCCCTTTCGGGTTCCACTCGAGCCATGGCCTGACGCGCGCGTGATGTCACCCAGCACCCTCCTCAGCGAGCGGGTTTCAATCCATCTCGACTTTCTCCTGCATATTTGTTGGGCTATTATTGGTTCTTGTTTTGTTTGTTTGTTCCATAGTTTCTTGTTGGTGATTCTTTCCAGCTCGGTCATCTGATCTTCAGTATAGAGCGAAGACAGTTGTCGATAAAGGTCTGCAACAGGCTGTTGGAAATATTCTTTGTGACCCGCCTGCCAAGTTTCTGATCTGATCCGCATAGGAGAAGTGACTGACTTGACGTTTGTATTGGAGATCCGACCGAATTTTGTTGTTGATGCTGGGTGAGTGACGAAGATTTCCAGATTGGTTTCAGGTTGATGAATGATGTGTTTCTCGCCTTCCCAATTCTCGCTCGATTTGACATCCTCGTCTGTTCCGACTGCCCCAGTTGAGACAATGCTCCCTAGATAATTGAGTGAATGAAGTTACCCTTTCAAATCTTTCCCGTTGATGGTGACTGACGCTGGATGTTGCTTTTGTTGTTGTTGTTGTTGTTGTTGTTGTTGGTGGTGGTGGTTGGTTATTTCCATGACCTCCGTCTTGTCCATGTTCACCTGGAGTCCTGTCTTCACCGGCTGCTTCTTTGACTAGTTTGTCGGTTTTCGCTTGTCAGTCTTCGATTTTGTGTGACATCAAACATAAATCATCCACGCGCGAAATCCAGGTCTTCTAGGTTCTTCACGTTGGTCTAGGATATCCCTGTCTTCTCGCTTCTCACTCATTGTCTGACGCATAATCCAGTTAGTCCACCACAATTAGTGATTGGTGATAATAAGCCAGCACCCTTGTCTGACTCCTGTGTTTACTCCAAACACCTCGGTGAGTTTTCCGTTGTGGATGACTTGACATGTGCCGTTGTCGTACAGCTGTTGAATAAGGTTGATGAATATTTGGGGTACGCCGTAGTACTCGAGTAATTTCCAAATTACTTCGCGGTCAATGCTGTCGAAGGCCTTCTCAAAGTCTATAAATCTAGGCGATGTTGTTATACCTTATATCAAGCAATAATGCAGTCTGCACTGAACATATCTTTTATAGTGGTTCAGTATTTAATAGACTTTCTTCTTTCCTCACATACTATAAAAGTTCGTTAGCTACAACTATAAATTGATGTATTTGATTATGGCCCATTTGCAACAATTACTTATCATAACTTTCATGTTATGTTATGTTAGGATTTCAAAATCTGACCAATAGTAAAGGCTTTATTCCCATATCTATATCTGAAGTCTTCCTGCATTTCATTGTAATTTATCGTTACACAAAGCTTTAGTTGGTCACCGATGATTGTAAGTATCAGTGGTGTTGTTCATTAGTTATAATTAGTTATAGTTATGGTGTTATCGCAACGTATCATCTGTTAAGATATATATATATATATATAGAACAATGCACTGATGTTAAAATACTTGTATGTTTATTGAAGATAAGTGACATATAATCAATAATTAATTATTCTTCTGTCGTATTCAACATTTATTGTCTTTCTTGGTTTTGTGTAGCGTTATTATTATACAACTGCCATTCAATCAGTGATCCCCGTTTATCCCATTTATGCTATTCGTTATGCATAATCCCAACATTCCTATTTTTTATGAAATGATGACTGATTGATCGAGTCTTTCCTTTTTTTTGTAAGATTAAACTAAAAGATATTAGGAATAGTAAGTGCATTTAAGTAATCTTTAACAGTTGAATGCCATTACCGCCTTTATTCCACAAAATAGCTCTGAATATTTTTAGTAGTTGAATGCTTTCTGTGACGTGTATTTGTATGTGCTGTCACAATGATACCTTGATTCTGTCGAGCAATTTGAACTTCAGTTCGTTTTCCAAAGGTTAGGAGTATTTTACACCCACTAGTATCACCGATAAGCGTTCATTATAATTGGCGAGCTCGTATATTGTGCAGAAGTCCCCCCAGACAATTATGTAGATGCATTTATAGGATATTTAATAAGCTCTAGGGTAATCAAATGCTCATTTTTATTAAATCTAATTAGGTTGAACGAATGGTACAGACATTTTTGGGTGAAACAGCTCGCACAACTCAGTTTGTCAAAGATTTCCTTGATCGTCGTCGACCTTTTTGGCAGCTTCATAGAAAACGGCGTGAACAAGCTAGTAGTATGGAAGAACCTACGGGTCAGAATAGTACAAGTCAATGTGTCAGTACAGTTCGATCATCTGAGAAAAAAAAGCGTGCAAACCCAAATGATAGCAATACACAGCGCCAGAATTCCAACACTTGCAACGGTCTTAGTTGGACGAAATCGGATTCTGTCCACCCACCGAATGCTGAACAGATCCAGGATAATCAGGTTTGGGTTTTAAATGTGTGACTTTTCTAAGTGCCTTTTTTTCCTTCACGTTCCCAATGGGACATAGGGCTTCAAGCTAGAGATTTGAAGTTTCTATGGTAGTGTTTATTTTTACAGGATGGAGTTGCTGACCTCATGCCCAACCTTCCCTCTTTACGAGTTTTATTACTGGATAAGTGAGGTAAAGGAGTGCATCGGTCGGGGGTCGAACCCCGGACCATGTTGCATGGTTGGCGAGTGTCCTAACCACTATGCCACCGACGCACTCTAATTGTCTTAGGCTATTAATATTTTACTGTTTTCCCCTGAATTTCATGGAAACCACATTCCATTTTTCATGACAACTGTAGCTATTGTATCTCGCAGACTAATACCCCCTTATAGTTAACATTTGTTACAGCATTTTATCTTACATTTAATTGATTTATTGGTAGAAACAATCACTCTTCACCCTTATTTCGACTAAGTCACAATCATTGAATTAGCCTGATATCTTTTATGGCGTTTCTCTATTGATAACATTGTAGTTTTAATAACGCCAAAGCATTGTATTGGTGTCAGTCTTGTGGAAAAATGTAGAAAAGAAATTTCGTTCCTAAATGACATAATATTTCCTTCCATGTATAAAAACGTATGCGTGTCGCTATTGTACTACTTGGATATGACCAATCACAGTGTTTGCAACATTTCGCATTTATTTGATTCCGTTTCAACTATGCTGTGTAGTTTCTCACGGTGTAAGACTTCGCGGGGCTGTCTCCATGAACTCACTTCATCATACGGAATTATTTCTTATTTACTTTATTCTTTTGCTTTCTCAATGGAGTATAGGGCTCGAATATCTTACCTTTGAAGTTTCAGTAGCAGTGCAGTGTTATGCTTTCTTGTTTTACGAGATAGGTTTGCAAGCCTTATGCCCAACCTTCCCTCTCTATGGGGTTTGCTATCGGCTAAGTGAGTTAAATGAGTGCACTGGCCGGGGATCGTACCCTAGACCAAATTCGTGGTTGGTGAGTATTCTACGACTGAATCACTGACGCGCGTGTGAAATCGTCTATAATTTCTAATGACTGAAAATATTGCAGTGTGGTTGGGAAATGTCGTATAAAACTCCCCAACATTCTACTACTGATGATACAAACAATTTCATAGTGTAACGACAGAAGACAATAGCCAGACAACAGGTCGTTTATCGAGAAAATCAAGAGATATTTATAAATTTTTATGCACATTGTCAGCGAAGAAGCAGCGCCTTCTGATTGGCTGTTCTCTTGCTGAAGGTTATTCTGTACTGCTTATGACTGGTTTCTTAGAAAGTTAAGCCATATATCTGCGAATCGTATTTGCTCACGTTAATTCTGCTGTGATTGGTTGGTGATTTCCTCAAGGTTAAGCTTTGTTATTGTTTTTTCCCGTAACCCCGATTCGGGATGTAACATTGACGTAAATTGCCGTCTACAATCTTGGCTTGCAACTAGCTTTCACCTCAATAGTACTTATTAAATCACTTTACTAAGGAGTAGTTATTTCCTAGGTTTAGAATACTTTGCTGTCCAAAGTTTTTTCTTTGCATTAATGGAACAAACAGTCCTTCTAGTTTTATCGTAATCATTGTTTTCTGAAGTCCAAAAGTTAGTGTAATTCCATATTTTAATTATCCCACAGTGATGCAGTATTAACAAATGGATGATGTTTCGAGCATAAATTATTGCTCATTATTAGATCAATTTAGTCACACACTTTTACATTTGTCTTGTATATATTTTCTTTCTATTCTGTCTCTCCAACTTTCTTTTGTTGCTTGTTACCGTCTTCCGTAAGTTCGGTATAGGCGATGCGCTGCGTCATTCCGATTGTACGCGTGCGATGTTGAACCGATAAACAAAGCTTCAGTGATTAACCTCTCTCTCCGGTTAAGTAATACAGTTAGGTGGAGGGAGAGTTTAATCACTGAAGCTTTGTTTATCGGTTCAACATCGGACGCGTACAATCGGAATGACGCAGTGCATCGCCTATACAGAAGATACGGAAAGTGGCAACAAACAACAAAGGGAAGTTGGAGAGAAAGAAAGAGAGCAGTTCTACACTTACATTAAAATATATATAATTAAAATAAACTTATCTAATATGGAGGTCGTTTAAGTGTTATATAGTATGCACGGGAGATCTAACCATCTATCATATGGATAGATTGCTATTGTTTTAAAGAGCTGTTTCCTTATGAAACTGAGAAGACCCTTTTCAATAGGAGTTATCCCCATTGTAAGTCGTTTTGTTCAACTATCGTCTGTTTATTATTACTATTATTATTACCAATCATGATTATTATTATTTACGTATGGTTACACGATCTAATTCTTCTTGTCTATCTTTCCTTCCTTCATTCATTCATGCATTCATTCATTCAGTGGCACCATATCAAACCTAAAGGAAGTCATAATCGTAAAAGCAAAAAAGATAAATCGACATAAAATAGAGAATCTTGTGCATCACTTGCTTCCCATTATTATTCTTTCAGTACACACAATCAAAGCAATCCCTAAGATCTTTCGTTTCAAAATATTGCTTTTATTACCTTGTTCTTTGTTATTTTCTTTTTTGTTTTGTTTTGTTCTCTTTTCTATTCGAAACTATGTAGGTGTAAATTGTTTAATTTTTTCTCCTTTGACATTCTGATCGATCTCAGTGTTATGCTTTCTATATATACATATACATATATACATACTTGTTTCATTTTGAAATTGCTTCTGATAATCGTGATCTAACGGCGGCGTTTTTTTTAAAGAAAAAACGAAACATCGTCGTGATATTAAGTTGATGATTGTAATTTCTCCTATTTTTTAGGTGACGAATTTATGACCTTGACTTTCAGTGTTTAAGGTTTTTTTTGTCTGTTTGTTTGCTGCAGGTATTCTGCATTATCTTTTATTTGATGACAGATGAATATGTATAATGTATATATCTATCTATCGAATCGAATCTAATCTAATCCAATTTATCTATCTTATCTATCTATATCTATCCAACAGTGATGGTTGCAATGCGAACTTATTTTCAAATTTCTCGTTTTTTCTCCTTTGGATCAATATATTGCTATATATTCTTATTATTAATAATAATAATACTACAATTACAATTATAATTTATTATTATTGTGTCATGTTAATTATAAGGTATCAGAGTTATCAAATTATCCTTTTCTTTCGTTTTAAACATGTGCGAATTGACATGTTTATAAATAGCCCTTTAGATACAAATAGTTAGAGGAAAATATAAATATTATATTACACGCAATCTATCAGCCAGTCATTTTAAGAGATTTGCGAATAATGGTATAAAATTGAAATGTGATACAACAGTTTTTGTCTTTTTAAGTGTGTTGCTTTGCAGCGATTCTATTTACTTTAGGTTGTAGACCATGGATTGAAAAACCACTAGGGTGGAGTACTGAACAGCTGTTTCGTCAGCCTAGTAGTTTGTGACTCTTCATCAGTACGCACCCACACTGCCAGGGTTCGAGCCCAGGACCTTCTGGTTACAAGGTTAGCGACCATTCAATCACTGGGACCCGATCCAATTGCCCGTCGGTGAATTTCAACTTCTGCTAATTTATGATATGGCACGACCATTAGCGAATGTCATCGCTGGCGAATATTTGTTGTCACACCTGACTGGTCACGACCTTCGATTAGAACCCAAGTAACTACCTACTTGAATAGAGTCAGTCACTAAGCGAATGACTAAAACAATATTTTTACTTTATTAGATGCTAGATATTATGAGGTTTCGTCTATTAACCGTGATGACACTGTCAGATAACAACACTATATATAAATAAATATCTTGTCAATGTATTAATTTACAAAATATCTTGTCATATATGTATATATATATATGTATATAATTTACTTTTTTTAAAAAGAAGTACGAATAATGATATATCATGTGGTATACTTCCAAAAATACAGTTCACCTTTTTTATTGTTCGAATGACGATCAACAATTCGTTGTGTAATGAACGTATTGAATGAAAGACTCTTTAAGAAGTTACAAGAGGTATATTGTTTCATAAGGTATAATTAATTTCCTAACCTAGGCATTTATCAATATGGATTATTATATCTGTCAGTCACTTACCTACTTAAACTTAATAAGCACTGTAAAAAAAGCATTAGGTTTTTAGTTAAGAAGTATTATTGCAGTATATAACAAGCGATGTCAGAGTTGTCGAGTTGTCACTTCAGATGTAGGTGTAGATTTTGGGAATGTTAGTTAGTGGACATACCGAAAACACGGTGCGGGACAATGAATAAATCATCAATCTGTGGTCTTAGTTGCATACAGATTGCCTTGAATAGCGTTGGCAGTTAGCTAAGTGTCATAATTTGAAGAAGACTGTTATATTGTTCACAGTACGACACATTTTGAAAAGATTTGCTAATTTTCATTCGATTATTCCTTTTGTTTTAACTGTTTATTCTCGTATATTGTACATGAATTGACAGAAGTTAGAATTTGATGAGCCATTGGGTACCTTCTTAGTGGCTGAATGGTCGACAAGTTCGCCTTGTAAGTTGGAGGTTCTGGGTTTGATCCGTGGTGAGGCTATGTTTCGTACTGCTGAAGAGTTCCAAACGCAGATGGAACAGTTGTCCAGTACTCCATGGTTTTTCAAAAGTTCTTTAGCTGAAATCAGTTTGAGATCAACACTGAAATTATGCACTTTTCTGGAGTGTGACAGCGTGAATTAGTGTATTTCTCGGCTCAATTGCACATTGATCTCTCAGGCTAATGAACTTTCTTTCACCTATTAAATTGACTATTTTGAACAAAAGTGTCGTTTACGTAGTTCAGCATTTTATGAATTCACCTGATTGAATTAATATTATAACCTTGTTGTGTACTAAGTAGTGCTGTTAAATTTGCTTCATTTTTTCAGTGTTATTTCTCATCTTTACTTTGATCCTTTGTTAATGAATGTCCAGGATTTCCCAACTTTATTTAGTTTGTGAATACTAAACATTTTACGTATTGGGCAACGTTTAGTAGTAATGACTATTTTGTCGGATTGGGGTGTATAAGGCAGTCTAAACTACTATTTTAAAATTTGTGGTAACGTGACGCATTTAATTTGCATCCTAGCAACTGGTACTTCTGAGCGTCTTCTTGGTTTCATATATTGAGGTATATCCGTCATCAACAACTACTACTATTTATCGTCGGATATTTTTTTGATCCCACTTTTGGACCATTTGTAGCATGTTAAGTTTCCATCAATCTGTTTATTCCGCCGAGATAGACTGTTCTGCATCTTGACGTACTATTACGAATGCGTATCACTACTATTGTATGTTACTATTACCACATTTTGTGAGAAGTATGATTTTCCTTATTTCTGAACTGAATAATCAGTTCGACAACTTAGTCCTCATATAAATGATGGTATAATTTTGTATGGTAAACACTTTATTTCATCTCCCATCGGCCTTATACACGAATTGAAAGACCAGAGTTTTTTACTATCTTGATTGATGATATGTGGTGTTTTTATCAGACTAACTGTCACTTGAATCAGAAATTACGAAACTAATGAATACAAAGCAAATATGTGGTGTGATATTTTCTGAAAAACCATTCTTATTTTTTATTGGATGTATAAATAATCATTCATTAGGTATGATTACTCTTTATCCATGTTTTTCTAATAGTCGTTTTTTTCTGTTCCTGATTTGCAAGGGTTGGGGGTACCCTTCTTTATTCTTTTTGGTTCGTTACGAATATGAAGAAACGAGAAACCGCTGTTATTTCATCAAAGCTGAAATTTTCAGTTAAGTTGGTTGCATTTACTCTCGATAAACCTTGATACCGAACGAACAAACCACTGGGACTCCGCCTGGTCTCGTCTTCATGGAATGAAATCGCTACGTTGCCTGCTTTCGTCCACCGAGCTGTCGACTTCATCATCGGTCGTTCTACCAGTGTCTCACGAGTCCTCTTCACTGCGTGTCTTCGTGAGTAGCATCCTCCTGACTTCAGCAGCATCTACACCATAACCACGATCGGATTCTTGACGCCCACCAGCTCGCAAACGGCTTCTCAATCTCACGGGGAGCTCTGAATATCTCCTTCTTCGAAAGCTTCAGGTCATGGGACCTTCCACCTGACTAAAGAAAGTGACGAAAGAATACGTTGTTATTTGGTAGCGAAATTGTTTACTCGACAGCAATGTGGCATACGGTGATGACAAAGTATGAAATCTTTGCGTCGAGATTTCAGTTCGCTGAAAGTATTCATGTTCTGCTTCTTTTGTGTTCACTCCATGCCTTTTCCTACACTGCTTCACAACTATCTGCGTTTCTCCTTTTGTCCAAATAAACCATTTCTCTTGCAGAAGTCTTCACTAATATACTATTTACAGGTTCTTGTCATGAACACACACCATGCTAGTACCACCGAACTTGAGTGTTGAAATGTTGCCTACTGGTAGATTTCTTTATGACTAGGCTAAACATAACGTGTGTGACTCGCTACTGAAACTTTTAAGATGTATAAAAGTCATGCAGATGGTGCACTCGTCATGTTTTAAAGATAGTTGTTGCAACCATACTGATGGGGATCAGTAACTGCCATTTTTCAGTCAATTTGAAATCAAAATATGGGGCCAAATCAAATTTTACTTTTTTTGAAAAACATGTGAGGATTTTCACCATAGAAACGGAATTGATTGTAGATTCTGAGATTTCTGACAGTCTGAATAGTGCACGTGACCTTAATGACATGTTTTTATTTATCTCGAGATTTTATTTCGACAATTAAATTCAGCGTTTGACGTTTCAGGAGACTATGCGGTGGATCTGGTTACTCAGTAGACATTTCAGATAAGGTTTAAGGTATTCTATCTTCTTATGCATACAGCTCTTTAGACGACTAGTTCTAGTGTGCATTATAGCAAGTTAGTCAGAAAACTTCAAAACGTATCCATGGTATTCCACTATCTCGGGGTTTTTATCGTGCTTTTAAAGTCCGAGAATATCTATCAGCAGATAACCAACATAGAATGGTCAGTACACAAATTTTCAGAATTGGTTCCTTTAGAGGAAATAAAGGAGCTTAGTTCATTCCCTTTTTCAAGAATATGAAAGATCTGTACTGATGATGCAATCGACGATGATATGAAAACACTACTACAAGTGCTCATACGAAATGGATACCCTTAAACATTTTACTGGTGAAAATGTGAATAAAACTATGATCCGCAGAAAAATCCATATTGCTTCGAAGAAGTCGTTGTTTATGAATGTTGAGCGCAACTAAGTGATGTAGCTGAAATCCCGAAAAACTGCGTCCGCAGATCGTTTCTTTAGTAGACAAACCATTGGCAAACGTGGAAAAGACCAATTGCAGACGCTAGCCACTACAGTGTGTTTCTACATATCTGCTTGTTGCTGTTGGCTAGACAAAACCTCCATCT